TCCCCCCTGAGCCTCCCCGAAGCCGCTTTCAGCCCCGGTTCCAACGGTTTGCTGTCCCCYCACGATCCTTTGCTGCACATCAAACCCGCCCAACCCACCGTGCCGTCCTCGTTAGGCTTCGATCGTTTAGGCTCGGCTGTTTTAGGCTCGGCTTTACCCGCTCAAACCCCGCCTTACCGGCCGGCTCCMAGCTCGTCGCAGTTTAATTTGTTGTCGGCGCCTCTCGCCGCGCCGCCGGCGGAGCAACCGCAGCTTTACAACGCGTCGGTGTTTGGAGGTGGAGGTGGAGGTGGTGGAGGTGGAACGGCGGCCGGAGCGGCCGGAGGAGGCGGAGAYCGCGCCATATCTCGCCAGGACAGCGTTATCAAACACTACCAACGGCCCGGAGCGGCTCAAGCTCAACTGGCGCCGGCTCACGGGCTCCAGCACTACCTGAGCTGCGGAGGATCCTACCAGCAGGTCCCTCCTCACCGCGCTCCGTTATCCTGCAGCCCTTTGGGGGATCAATCCCCCGCCAGCTCCGAGGGATCCCAACAAAACCCTAAAAACGCTCCGGCGCCGCCGCGTCCGGAACCGCCGTACCGCCCCATCATCCAATCYCCCGGTTATTCCGGCGGAAACGCCGCCAACAACGGCGCCGGCAAATCCAAATCCTACTCGGCTTCGCGGCAACCTCCGCGCTCCACCAACACGCCCAAATGTCAGAGCAGCTACACGCCCAGCACGCCCAAGGCCAGCTCCGTCATCGCCAGCCAGTCGCCGGCGTACTCGCCSGGGCAACCTCCTCCGCCGCAGAGCTTGCTGGCCATGGCCGGAGCTCCGGCGTACAGCGCCGCCGGACAGCCGGCCGCGGGTTTYGCCGGCGGGCAAGGAGGGGATTTAGGGGGTAAAGGTGGAGCTGGTGGCTACCAGGGCGGGCAGGCTGGTAGCCAAAGTGCTCTACAGGCTTGCGGAGGGGCGTATTCACCGGAGCAGCTGCAGGCGTTACCGTATGGTGTCCAGCCCGAAAGCGGGCAAGGAGGCGGCTACGGGCCACCGGCGCCGTCGCAGGGGTTGCCCACGGCCAGCCCGTCGCTGACCTACAGCACCACCGGTCACTCTCCGGCCATGCCGGGCCCTCCGTTGCCRTACGGAGGTTTGGGAGGGTCCAGCCCGTCTCCCATCATCCGCCCGCTGCAGTCGCCGCCGGCCGCTCGGCCGCAGAGCGGGGCATCGCCGGGGCAATCCCAAAAATATTTGGGGTCGGTGCTGTCGCCGTCGTTTATGACCCCGCAGGGTTACGGCGGAGCTCCGGCCGGGCTGGAGCGGCCGCCTCAACCCCCGACGGGCGGAGCTCCGCCGAGTTTCGGGGGGAAAGGAGGGAAAGGCGAGGCGGAGCTGCTGGCGGCCGAACGCAGCGAGGATGAGGATTTTTTGATCCAGCACCTCCTCCAAGCTCCGAGCCCGCCACGGCAACCTCTGGGGGGCTGCGAGGAACGCGGAGCCGGAGCGGGGGGCACCGGGGGACCTCCGAAAGGGTTGGGGGGCTACGGCGGAGCTCTGGGAAAAGAGGAGAGGTATCAGCTCCAAAGCGTCATCAGACCCAACTCCAACCTGGAGGCGCCGCTGGAGCTGGCGCTGCTGAAAGAGAAGAAAAAAGCCGAGAGGGGGAAGGAATTTTCTCAAAGAGGAGGAGGAGGAGGTGGAGGAGGAGGAGGAGGAGGTGGAGAAGGTTTGGCGGCCACTTCGGTGGTCCACTACGGCCACCAAGCTCCGCCGCCGCCGGCCGGAGCCGCGCTGGACACGTACGAGATGAAAAAAGCTCCGGAGCATCTCCCCGGAGGGAAAGAATTGGGTCAGCAGCCCCCTCCTCCTCATTCTTAYCTACCCAAAACCCCCGAGCACGGGCGGATGGAGCCGCTGGAACCCCACAACCTCCTCTTAGACCCCTCCCCAGAATTAGGAGCATCTTTGCTTCCCTCAGTGCTGACCCACACCCAAAGCCAACTCCACGGCCGGCCCAAAACTCGCGCAGCTCCGCTGGACGTTCACCTCTTGGAGCAACAACGGATGCCACCTCCACCTCCRCCTCCKCCKCCAGCTCCGAGCGCTCCGGCCGCTCCGACCGCTCCGGCCGCTCCATCTCCGCAGCTCCTGCTGGAAGCTCATCTCCACCAAGTTCGCTCGCAAGGTTTGGATCCTCAAACAGCACCGCCTCTCGCTCCCGATTCCATGGAGGTTTTACCCCCTCCACAAGAAATCCAAGATTTTTTAGAACCTCCTTTAAGCTTGGAACAACATTTAGGACAAAGCGGTGGGGTTCAAGGAGGCGCCGGGCATTTGTTGGATCCCGATTCCCAAGCGGTCAGCGGGGAAGGGAAGGATCAATTTTCTGAAAGCGGCAGCCCGGCCGGAGGGAAAGGACGTTTCGTCCCTCTCACGTCCATTTGTTTTCCGGATGCTTTGCTTCAAGACGAAGAACGAGGATTTTTTCCGGGRATGGAAGATATGTTCGGACCGCCCCACGAGGATTTTCCCAAATCGGCCGAGGATGAGGACGACGACGGCGAAAACGGCGATTCCAGAGCGGACGGGATGAAAGCGCCGCCTCCTTACGATATGGGGCAAAATTATTCYGCTTTTTGTCCCCAAGACGGAACCGGGGGTAACGAGGACACCCCACAATTGGCGTTAGAACCCCCAAAATTACCTTCAACCGTCAACGCCGAACCGTTGGGATTAATCCAAAGCACCGGCGATTCCGTCCCAAAACCCCCTCCCCCTTTAACCACCCCGTTATTCTGCTCCTCCAAACCCAAAAAACTCCTAAAAACCTCCTCTTTTCACCTTTTACGCAAACGAGACCCTTTCCCACCTCCCAAAAAAAAYTACGCGCAGGAATACGAATTTGAGGACGACGAAGGAAAAGCCGACGCTCCGGCCGATATCCGGCTGAACTCGCGGCGTTTGCCGGATTTGTTGCCGGATTTGATCTCCAGTTGTCGCCGGACGCCGCTGACGGCGGCGGGGGACATCGATTTTTGTCCCCAYCCTTCGATGGCGGCGGCCACCCCGAAAAAAAGGGGGAGGAAACCCACGAAACCCAAAAGGGAAGGGCCGCCCCGACCCCGGGGGAGGCCGAGGATTCGACCGCTGGAAACGCCGGGGTTGGGATCGGGGGACGGAGCGAAAAAACCCCGCGGGAGAGGGAGAGGACGCGGCAGGAAAGGAGAGGAGGGGGATGGAGGAGAGACGCTCAAACCGCTCAAGGTGAGAGGAAATTGGGGATTTTGATGAAATTTGGGGAAAAAATTGGGGTTTGGGGTGAAAATTGGGAAAAAATTCAGAAAAAAATGGGGAAAAATTGGAGAAAATTTGGGGTTTTGGGGTGAAAATTGGAAAAAAATTGGTGAAAAATTGGCAGAAAATTGAGGTTTTGCAGTGAAAATTGGGGGAAAATTGGGGTTTGGAGTGAAAAAACACAGAAAAAACTGAGGTTTTGAGGTGAAAAATTGGAGGTTTTGGGGGGAAAATTGGGAAAAAATTGGGGAAAAATGGGGGAAAAATTGGAGAAAAATTGAGGTTTGGGGTGAAAATCGGGGAAAAATTGGAGAAAAATTGGGGGTTTTGGAGGTGAAAATCGGGGAAAAAAATGGGGTTTTGGGCTGAAAATTGGAGGAAAATTAGGGAAAAAATGGGAAAAATTGGGGTTTTGGGGAAAAAAATTGGGGGAAAATTGGGGAAAAATTGAGGTCTTGAGGTGAAAATTGGGAAATAATTGAGTGAAAATTGGGGGAAAATTGGGCTTTGGCATGAAAAAAATGGGGAAAAATTGAGGATTTGAGGTGAAAATTGGGGAAAAATTGGGGCGTTTGGGGTGAAAAAAGGATAAAAATTGGGGTTTTGAGGTGGAAAAATGGTAAAAATTGGCGTGAAAAAAGTGTAAAAAAGAGTGAAAATTGGGTAAAAATTGGGGTTTTGGGGTGGATAAAGGGTAAAAGGTTGGGATTGGGGGACGGAGCGAAAAAACCCCGCGGGAGAGGGAGAGGACGCGGCAGGAGAGGAGAGGAGGGGGATGGAGGAGAGACGCTCAAACCGCTCAAGGTGAGAGGAAAAAATGTAAAAATTTGGGGAAAATTTGGGGTTTT